GGGGGGGGGGGGGGGGGGGGGGGGGGGGGGGCTTCATGACGAACTGCAGATGGAAAGAAAGGGGTTGCACTTTAATATCTTCAATAACATTTTCTCCGTTCTACCGCGGACATGTTCGAGGGATGAATGCACTACAAGCTATACCTTTGGAAGAGAACATCCTCATTTAAGGAAGTAACATTTTGCTCTCCATCACATTATAATATGACCTATGATATATACGCATTATAACATGAATTATAAGTACATATGCATACCAAAAGTCCGTGCCGTTCGAGTACAGCTCGTCAAGGCAGCGGTGAAATTCGAAACTTCTTGGTTCACTTTTCAGCATAAATCTCCTTCTTTCTCTACGCGCAGTCGCCACCTTTTTATCCAGTCGTGGAAGGACTGAAAGTATATTTAACCCATGATGCCAGCAGCATGTTTCTGTTCGGCCCAGACCACTTCCACATTTTTATTTTGGCAGTCCTATTCATTCAGACATTCATTCAGTGCATTCAGGCTGGAGCGTGGCGCGAGGAATTCCAGAAAATCGAGAGGAGAGGTCAACCCGAGGACGAGTCAACTCTTCAGAAGGAAAATCTAAACAGGTGCGAATCCCTTAATGAAAGAAAGTGTGAACGGTGTACGAGCCAAAATCTGTCTTTGATGGCGAGAAGGGTTCTGCAGGTTTGCCATTCCCGTCACTCTCCTAACGCCAATTTCACGCATTTGTCCAATGTAAAGAATGTGTTTATACGTTGTAGGCAGTAATCAGCCAGGAGAAGCTCGCTGCTCGATCCGATCAGAGCACTAATACGATGGGTTCAGAGTGCTCGGTGAGCTCCGGAAGCGTTGGAGTGTCATGGATGCATGGAGCCTCCCTCTCCTCATGGACCGAAGTGCTGTGTTCCGCTCTCATGGGGCTTTTGGAAGTTACGCGCAGGCTCAGACGCCGGGATAAAGGAAAAAGTTCTCAGGGACTCAAAATCTCATCGTCCTAATCTTTGCTTTTTTTCCGGCCTTTCAAGTAATGAATAGGAATGATGAGATGAGAGGTAATGGGAATCAAACGCGAACTCGAGAAGACTTGCCAAGGCTATTTCCGGCTCCCACCATTGATTTCCATTCATTCTCCAGCTACCATATTTCATCGGCGTAACAAATCGCTGGAATGACAAGGCTCGATCCCGAGTTCGAATACCACGAAAAACTCTTTTTTTTTTGTGCCCCTCGAGGGAACTACAAAGATGAGCGAAGATGAATGCCGAATTCAGAGATAGACCGAAGGGGAAAAAAGTTTTAAGAGGAAGTGACGGATGGGACAATATAACGAGTCTTTTTCGGTCTCGTCTAGTCAAGGTCGACGGTCAAGGTCGAGCCAGAACTTTTTCTCTCTCCTTCTCGGGGACACATCCACATATCAAGATGGATCGTCGGGGGAAGCAACTTTCACAGACCGTGAGACCCAAGTACCATACCCGTACCCGTACCCATAGTACGATATCCCATATGGCAGAACGCCACGCCATCTCCCTTGACAAACACAACACATACGCCCGACCTCATCAGCACGATTGCATTCTGTTCAAATATACCCAGGCCCAGATACACGATACGAATCTAGGATAGAGACTTCGTGGGAGTGGGGACCCCCTCCCCCCCCCACCTCCCCCCTCTTATGCACACAGGACGAGCAGGCCTATACTGTATGGCGTGCATGAAACTATGGCCGAGGCTTGCCGGGGTTCATGGGAAAGAGAAGATGACGTGCTGCACGAGCATGATCTTCCACCCATCCATGTGGCCTATCACATTTTCCTTCGGTTCGGGTTAGCAAATTAAACCAAAAGGAAGAAATAATGCTCAAGCGTGACGAGATAATATATGAACTCTACCATGTATCCATCCCGACACGCAAACTCACTCGGGTAATTACAGCTTATCTACATAATGACACCCTCTTTGGTACGACTCACACCCATCGTTGCGAAAGCCAGCACATTTTCACTCCTAAAGGTGTGAGAAGTGAAAGGGGAATTGCGTGCGGACGAGAAAGATTCTCGGACGCCCGAAAACTGAGTTTCGGGGTTCTCTCCGGTGTTTCTCCTTTAATCTCTTTATGAGACGACAAGTAAAATAACAATAAGAATATCCTACATATCTCCACAGCCCCCCTTTTTTATATTTTCGCTCTTAAAAGAAAAATTAAACTATTTCACTTAAAGCTTTTTCCCGGGACCTTGGCACCTGAAATCCCATTTTCGATTGGGAGAGGGGAAGGCAACGTTTCCTACTCTAAAGAAATAATATGCGGGATGAAGATTGCTGCACTGGCAACAAGGAAGAATATCAGTTAGCTCAAAGCCCGTATACATGTAATCTTCTCTCTCTTGGGGGGCATTTCGCAATCTCCTTTCTCCATGACATTCTCATCCATGTTCACATAAGGTGATTCACATAAGGGAGGTGCTTCTCCATTATAGAAGAAAAAACCTTTTTTATTTTCATACCGAGCTCTCTCCAATAGTATCCTGTTCCGGAATTTCTTTAATCCATCCAATCGAGGCATGGTTGCATTTCCAGTAACTAGGCTTCAAATTCGATCCAGCCTTCCCGAAAAAGATTCCAGAAGATTCTAATCAGGTTCTGAATTCTTAAAATCTGCTTGGCTTGAGCCATATTGTTTGAGATTCTTTGTCCTTCAAATCATCACATTGGCAGTAATTAACCAATGAACAAATTTTTTAAAATGATTTTCGAAAACTTCCCGCGATTCATTTTTGATATGCGATTCGGGATTGCATGAGAGCTTTGGGGCCTAGATTCGAAAAGTTGAATCTGTTCTTAAAGGCAATACTCGAATCCTAAAAAAAAATGCGGATTGATGATGACGATGGACATCAAGATATGACTCAAACGATTCGGATCAAAGCCCGGAATCCGGTGTCTGCGGATGGCCGATATAATACTACGTGTGTTCAAATGAAAAAGGGACTTTTAGTCCCCTATTTTAGGCTACCCTCTGGCTATGAGTAACAGCCATTGTGCCCTTTTCATTTGAACACTACTAGTACTTAAAAAATATTCCTCGTCCCGACTAAGCAATCGATAAAATAACCAGACGTTTTAGCACAGGCGGAAAATTATTATAGAAGAGCAGTTCAAGAAGAAGGGCCAAGAATTGAGATTGTGGCAGTTCAAGCTCATTTGTTAGGGGGTAACAGTATGTTGGCCCTGATCCCCGAGTCTGGAGATGAGTGACAGGTGGACCGTTAAAATTGACAGCTACATATAGTTACATAGCATTTCCAATATGCATAGTCGCCTGTTGTGATTCAGCATGATGAACAGCTTTTGTGAACAGAAATTCCTTCCACATTGTTTCGTTATTGTCCTGAAGGGTTACCACAAATTCCAGCCAATTCAGAACTGCCTAGCTAGGGATGAGTATACCAGAAATTACTTGTATAATGAAATAATAATGTGTATCTCGAAGGCATCTGACACTATTTCTTTTTAATAATATTGGGTGCATGATTGGTGACATTTATATGCTGACACTTGAAGAAACGCCCAACCATTACTCGAAACGACCGATTTACGATTTGCCGGTCACGTTTCTTCCACACCGCGACACATCCACACGGAAAGCCAAATGCTAGAATCCAACTTTCCATCTTGTTTCTACCGTCAACCCTCAAACATCATCCTTTCATAACCCGTTACATAAACAGTTGTAGCTTTGAACGATTTTTGTACATAAACATTTCAACAGCGGAGCATTATTTCCTCCGCACCCGGGTATTGTCATCGATCCGTGTGGGAATCCCCGAGACGACCCACAGTACTCCCTCACCCCTCCCCCCCCCCCCCCCCCCCTCCCAGCCCTATATTTAGGTACAAGCTAGAGACTGGTCGCAGTGGGCGGGGAAGAGGAAAAGGAGGAAAGAAAGCATAATCATGTCTAACTGCATGGAGGCATCTCCGTCCGATGTACTGTGGGTCGTCACGGGGATTCCCACACGGATCGATGACAATACCCGGGTGCGGAGGAAATAATGCTCCGCTGTTGAAATGTTTATGTACAAAAATCGTTCAAAGCTACAACTGTTTATGTAACAACAGGTTGGCACTTATATGCACTTACACGTTGTCTTCAACTGAAAGATGTTCGAATTTTCCCTACGCTGGTTTAGCCCCACAAGCACTTTGAAGTTCGCGAGTATAATATTTGTAAATCGCTGCGAATCCAAGGAGACTCGCTGAAGACGCACGATGGGACGTCCTTGCGACTAGACGATAGCATTCGGTCGCGGTTTCCGTTGAAGAATCGCTCTTTTAATGAAATCACGGCACACTTTCATTGTGAGGAAATGCTTCCACACCGCTCTGTCTGCCTAGGACAACACCACGATCGCAATTAACGCAATGGACGAGTTGACGCGAAAGCGATCAAGCGGACAGGCTTCCTTTCGAAGAGAAATTAACAACGGGCGGGGATCGCTAAATATATTACTCGCAATCTTGAAATTGATTCTGTGGCCACACCAGATCAATATTATTTCTGAAATTTTTTTTTCAGAAGACAACATGTATGTACATATATCCTGGATCGAACAAGACTGACGCTCTGACGAATTACCTTATATATAAAAATAAAAAATAGATGCGCGTTTTTTTTCTCCGCACCCGGTATATTGATCTCGGTCTCTTCGTCTCCTTCCCTTCCTTCCATCTGGATCGAACTACCTCGACCCTGACTGGTTCAAATTCGATATTAAATTTTCCTCCCTTTTTTTTATCTTGACAAGGGGAGAGAGGATTTCGCGTCCGCAGGGACGAGACCAATAATCCCTACCCTCCCACAATCAGCGTGGGAGGAGCTCAATCTGGAAACACAAAGTCATAAAGCTGGTAGATAACGAAGATTTTTTTGTTTCTAAAGGAACATTCCATACCGTTGCAATAAGCCGCCACGACATCCAACTTGTATCGTTGATCCGGGGTGTTTGGTTCCAGTCGAGGTGACACGTTCACGAGATTCCCTTTGGCACTGTATAACTTGAGAATGTCGTATCGCCCTGCTTCGGCGGCCGAACGGAACAAGTCTAGAAATGGAAGGGAAAAAATGAAAACCAATCAATCTGGAGTCCTGTGATTGGGAAAAGCGGTGGAAGTGGGGGAACAATGAGGAGACCATGGGAGACTAATGGGAAGCGAGACAGCTCTAATAATTGAATGGGTAGAGAGGGAGAGATGAAGACGAGACCTGCATTCGATCCCACGTTTCCCAAGGACAACATTTCCTTCCGCGTGTAGAGGCCCACTCGTATATTGGCGGAAGCGTTCCAGCATAACTGCATTTTCTCTTAACTGGTGCAGCAGGTGTTGGAAGAGACTGGAAGAGGGTGACTTTTTTTCATAACGGCACCACACTTGTCCTGCTGCCCCTCGAGGTATTCCAGGGGTGCCCCAACATAAGTGTCATAAGGGTCACACAGCCTGTAGGTCGCAGGCTCGCGGGTCGTACGGTAGCCCTCCGTTCTACGCATTCTGGACGCCCTTGCTCCAGATGCCAAAGGTGAGCTTCTTGGACTAACACCGATGACAATCTTACTCGATTTGATAGTTTTCACATCGGACGATGTTCAGTTCCACGGTCCATCGCATATGATTGCAAAAGACTAATGTAGGCCATAAAGGAGTACCGATTACAGGCTTAATTCTTCTTACCGAAACCTGAAGGATTTGCTCGGAAGAGGAAGGATACCCTATCCGTCCATCGAACGACCGGGACGGGAAGTCTTTGGTATGGCATATCAACAGTGAACGAATGACTTGAATCCGCAATCGTCATTCATGAATGAATCAAAAAAAGGGGATCGTCTGCCTTCTATCAGATACTGGCTCGGAATGGAATCCGCGTTATGAGATAGCACTCCCGACCAATGATCGCGTCTCCAGAAGAGGAATTCCTGGGTCTGAGAGCTACTTCACGCGTCGCATTTATTCCCTGTTTGGGAGCTCTCTTGCACCTCGAGAGGGAAGCCATGCGATGAAAATTCACCTAGTCGTATTAATGTTGTGCCTATGTTGAGCAGCCGATGGACATAGCTGCTCGACGTATGATTGTGCCTCTTCGGCTGGACACCCGAGACTACCAGAACAAAGGATGTGAAATTTTTGAGCATTTCCATGGCTGTGGAAACCTTACACAAGTAGGGTAATTCCTCGGAGTCGCATTTCTGGCCTCCTCGGTTCACCATGAAAATGCCTTGTTAACGAGCGACACTCCAAACAAGGCCGACCAGTTCAGGAATTCCCCCTGGGATATCTTTGCATATCTCTAGTCGTTCCTTTACCAGGTGAACATCGCAGCTATTCAATTTTTACATCCTTGACGGTAAAACTCATCCTCTGAAGGTGCACATCCGGTCGACATTGAGGATGCTTCCACCTCCCATCCAGTCTACCGGTCGTTCGGTTCATTTGGATTAGTACGAAACACCTGTGAAATAATTAGATGGCTTCACTGGAAAGCAATATCTCAATTCTCAGATGAAGTTGCGACAATCATCCGTCTGGCAACCTTCACATACATCCAAGCGCCCTTGGAAACCCGAAACTGTAGGAGGTGTTTTGGAAGCGCAGCAGGAGAAATATGATGGATGGCATGAGCGATTGCGCTCTACAAGTCATTGAGGATTCGGGGATTCTTCTTCTAAGCTTTCCCTTAGAGCAGTGGTTCCCAACCTCGGGTCGCGGGGAGTCCTCAGTAGGGTCGCGAAGGGTCACCAGAAGAAAAAATATATATATTTGCAAAATGCATCATATTTCATTATATATGTATTTATATGCATATTTAAATTTTATCATGAGCCTGAGGGTCGGGAGGTCCTGTTGGTGGCCAATTTAGGGTCGCAGCAAAAAAAGGTTGGGAACCACTGCCTTAGAGATATACTCAGTTTGGTGTCGGATGAGCGCGATGAGCTGAGACTATAATTTACCCTCGTTTGGCTGGGACGTGAACTCTTCTGGCTCGTGGAAGACGAGACCGATTAGCTTCTTGGCAGACCTGCACGCCGCGGGCATGACAAACCCATTCTGTGCGGATGAACTTAGTCAAGGCTCATCGAGTTCTTGTCAGATTGTGGTGTTGAGAGGCCGGAAAGAGCCGAAAAAGGCTTTTTGCATTTACCAACGACCCAGTGTATCCAGGGATTATAAAACGCTTTCCAGACTCAGAAGCAAATTGACTGTAAAACTAGAATGTGCACCTTCATTGCACCTAGAATTGCGATATTAAGTGAAAAACAATAAACCCGAACTAATAATAAACTAGCTTAATTGAAAGAGGTTATCAACCAGAATATGTTTCAAAGTCAGGCCTGGTATCGATTGGTACAAGCAAACATTTGTCTCTAAGTTTCAATGCACACCAACAGACACGATCTCAATGACGATCTAGAAATGTGAATGTTTCTGACATACGAGTAGCAAATTCATGAACTACCCTCTGGGTCTGAGGTGTTCAGTCATAAAAATGACTGCACAGATCCATATCTCACCAGCATCCCAACGATCTCATCGAAAGGCCAGCAGAAATTATAGAACCGTTCCCACGATGGTGATGTGTTCGGTCGACGTCTTGCCAGAATGATCCAGATGATTTTGATTCTGGAAAGCATCCAGGATATCGAAAGGGACTCGATTGACTTTCGATTAAGCCCTCTCCCAGCCGAGAAGTAGTTTGATGCAGCCACGAATCGGACAACTCTTACAAAAAATTTCCCCTGAGGTAAAATTAGGACGGTGAAACCGAGGTAAAAAAAAAAAAAAGGTTTTTCCGCCGTCTCTCAACCTGTGAGAAGACCCTTCAGGTAAAGATTAGGAGGAAAAGCGGTGAAATTCGGACGAACGAAGGGGTGACATTTTTTTAAATGGATGTTCGCCCTGAATGTAATCGTGGTGTGTGGATACATCTATCACGGCGAAACAGCGTACGGCAGAATCGTCGATGACGAGAAACATCATTTCCTCTGTAATGAAGGGAATCGTCCTTGGATCCCTGCCAACCCGGAATGCCAAAACGTCGACCTACACATCCACCGTCGGTGTGTCACGGTCTCGGCATTATTGATGGATGCTCGATATCCGTGGAGGCATGGCAGTAATCCTTTGAAACGGAACGACGTCAGGCTTCGTCGGAATAATTCTCATCCTTCCCGGTGTGCTCAACTGCACAAAGGCCACGGCTAAATGACGTCTCCTCGCCTCTATTCACCTCAGACGCTCATCGAGAAGCCGAGGTCCCTCGCGTCTTTGTGGCTTCCCGGCCTCCATCAGTCCCTGCATAATTGGTCCCTGGCCCCAGTCATTCCTCTCGAACCGACGAAGCGTTCACTACTATTCCAAGAATTTCCTTCGTTAGACGACGTCGTACGTAGATGGCTGAGAACTTATTCTTTGGGCTCTTTACCTCGTGTAATGGAGAAAATTCGTTTCTGCCGTTCTTTTTGACCCTTCAGAGAAGAAAAAAAGTCCCGATAGAACTTCTTTCCCCGACAAAAGAATTCCACTTCGAGTAATCCCCCAAGCATCCTTATAAGGCACATCGTCGATATCATGACAAAGGGGGAAAATGCAGTTGTAGCAATTTTCAGGAGAGCAAGAATTCTTCTATTCTATTTTTAGACTGGAGAATGATGATTGAGGCATGTTACCCTTTGCACCAGGGAACTCCCACTCTCATTTCCCTGATGCATGGCGCATAGTCCTCAAATATCATTCTTAGATCCGAAAAATAACTAATTATAGTTCCGACAATTTTCAGAATTGAATAATCTCCCTTTCATCAGATCATCGACGACAAGAACCATTTTCCCTATCATTTAGACAGATATCTCAACGTGACAGTGGGATCGGCAGCGCGAGTCCAATGAGATGTACGATCATTAGGGGCGCTGATTGAGATTGAGCGTTCCGCTGTCGCTCTTGCAAGTTTAGTTCACTCGTCACGAGTGCTTAATGATGAATTTTGCATAATCTCTTCATTTTAGCGTCGAATTACCACACCCACGTCTAAACAATGTCCAAGACCTTTGTGAATAACATCAAATTGTTATATTTATATAAATATACACACTTGAAGGACGAAGACTGTCGAAAAGGTGCACTAAATTTCGGAGAGGGTTACTGAGGTATTAATGTTCATATGGAATTATGTTCAAGTTCCGCATATTCTCAATAGCTGAAGGAAAATGAATAAATTGAGAAAAATGAATTCTCAGTCATCATGCATTACGTGTCCTGTATTATTGAGGCACCCATTCCAGCAGAGGCTTCAGATGCCGTGCCATTTCAATCCATAATAAATCGCTCATTTGTAGACCCAACGCGTCTACATTATTGGATCGACACAGCGGAGAACATGCTCTTCATGGGACTGCGTGCTTGCCATGCATTCCAAATCGGAAGGAAGAGTCCATTAGGAAGCACAAAATCAATTTCCACTGTTTGTCCATCACAAGATTCTGTCTTTGAAGTCACGTTTCTCGAGTACCAATTCTCATCGTGCAGTGCTGCATTCAATTCTGTGGTCAGACTAAATCGAACTTCGTTGGGCTCGAGTCCTCTGGACATGCGCAAAAGATGGTTTGACTAGAGGATGAGATGGGTTTCACTTCTGTTTCATGCTTAGATGTAGGCATAAAAGTATAATTAGGCATGGTATTACTGAGTGACTAAAATGCAACAGTTTTGCAGGATGACAGACTTTTTTCATAGCTCGATAACTCAGAACCTAGGGAAAAGAAAACACACGCATCTGTAATTTGGCGCTACTCTTTAATGTATGCTAAATATATATATAGATATATATACAGTATAATGAGATGTTATTCAAGATGAAAGGTAATGGGGATTGCTTAGACACGAGTCCGCTCATCCGATGGTAAAATGAAAAGGTAATGCAGGAAATGGAAAGGCAACTCTTTT